AATACGATGATTATAACAATCAGCGATGAAAATATTTTTCTTTTTGTCAATAAAGATTCCAACAGGCTTATTGATTTGATTTAATTCTTGTCCTTGTCCATTTCCACCAGCCACAGTGATGGCATTTTGTTTCCATTTGTTAGATTTTGATTCTAAAAAAGGATGAAAATAAAAGATTTTCATAAAAAGAAGAAAAAAACTCTACTGGAAAAAAGGATATTAAACATCTGAAGTTTTCTACTTCGGAAATAAATATAAATTGTTTTGAAAAAAAAAAGAATATGAAATTTGTTATTTTTCCAATCGAGATTAAGAAGAGAATTAAAGAATATTTTCATTGAAAGATAATTTGTTTGTGAAACAAATTGATACATATTCAATTTAAAAAGAAAAGAAAAATTGAAAAAGAAAAAGATTTTGTTAATTTATTTGATATTATTTCATATCTTATCATTCTTTTCTTTAATATACAAAGAAATTCAATTTTCTATTTCTATCAATTCTATTATTATTGATTAAATAAATAAATAATATTCTCAATTGTTTTCATCGGTTGTTAGTGTTAGTTTATTAAAAATAAGGATTATTTTTTTAGAAATTATTTCTTAAGAACTTACTTATTGATGAAATAATTGAAATATCATTAATAAATGCTTGTGAGTTTTGTTTAATAGAAATATTTGTTGGATCATTTAATTCTTCTGTAAGTTTTTTTAACTGATTTGTTAAATACTTTAAATCGATTTCATTAAATTCATTTTCTTTATGGATATGTTTTATTTGCTCACTTAAATTATTAAATTTCGTCCCAATATCATCAATAATTGTTTGTAAAGATTTAATGACAATTTTTCTGCATTTTTGTGCTTTTTGTTGAATCTTTTCAATTGAATCTTTTTCCCATTGATTAATTTGCTGTATTAATGAATGATTATGTGGACTTTGTTTTTGTTCATTTATTCTTTGTTTAAATTCATCATAATTATTAATAATACGATTTAATTCAACGGTTAATATTTGTTTATGTTCTGCTAAATCCGTAAAACAAAACCTTTGTGAGCATCCTTCACAAGGATATGTTAATTTTTCTTTGTTGCATTTAAAACATCGTGTTTTATTACTTGCCATTGCGATGCCTTTGAACAGACGTTTATAGAATAAATGAATACTTATTTATCTGCTTTTAAAGATATAAACTTCATGATTCAATGATAATAAAAAAAATACTGTTCGATAGTAGAAGATGTTGAAAAAGAATTCTTTTTATGACAAAATCCCACTGACAAAACTGATATAATATATCTAAGGTGGTTGGACTAAATCTAGAATTTGATTTCTTTCTAATTTCAAACAAAAAACCAAACAATTCTTGTGATGTTTTAATGTAGATTGAGATGTAAGTAAATAATAAACGTGATCTGCACCCACAGTTTTATTTACCAGATGAATGATATATCAATCTCTCATTCACTCGACTCCATTATCATGTTCACTTTCGTTCTCAAAATAGTTCTTGTATGATATTCCTTTTTCATTCATTTTTCATATTATTTCAAAAAACAAACTTACCTAAATGAAATTATTTCGATGTAAATAAGAATTTCTATTTTATCGATTAAATTCTTCTAACTATTTTGAATGACAAAAGCATTTGTTCTTTTGTGTTTTTTTCCAACTATACATTTGATTCAAAAAAGAAAGCTGACAAAACATGTTTTATTTTTGATCAAATGAATTTTTAGTGTTTTATAAGTGAACAATATTGAAGAATGAAAAGTATATACCCACGAAGTCTTTTTTAAGTAGATGCCGCTGCTAGACGCGGTTTTTATATGAGGACTGCGGTACGTCCGAACTCAATCGCGATGTATAAATCGTTGCAAACCGCGATTTTGAAAAAGTTCAATGAGATACATATTTATTGCGGTATCTGAGAATGCCATCCATCACAGTATAATATTTTTTGAATGTCCTTCTATGAATTGCGATCTCCCTATATTATCTCGAAAAATATCTTAATTCTAAGTAATGAATAATATTAGTACATGACTAGACTTTTATGTTCTTTTTCTTATGATCAGGTATTACTATTATTTCGATGTATAATCGTGGTTTAATACAAAAGGAAAGATATTTTTTCTGAGTGATATTTTTCTGTACTTGAACAAATTGTAATGCTCATCTTAATTGTTTATTCCGTCTAATGATATGGAACAAGTTTAAAGAAAAAAATATATCATTTAGAAAGTCAAACGTCATATAAGTAGGAGATTATGTTCAAATAAAATTAGACATAGATATATATACTAATAATATTTATAGTACTGATTACGAGATGATAGAAGTTCAGATGTAGAAATTTACAAACCTATAATTTTTCAATTGATAAAATCGAGATATGTACATATAATACAATATCATCTCACGTGTCGTGACTGATAGATTTACATCTTTACTAAACTATGTATTAGTATTTTTAAATATTTATAGTTTTCAATACCACACGATACTGTGGTGTATTAGCAGCAAACTTACTTTTGTAATTAAGTTATAGAGTGAAAAAATATGATTTCTTTGAGTGCCGCTATGTAAAACAGAGGTCTCAGTAGAATACTCTGAGATACAATTTTTTGATTATTAAAAACTACAACTATTTCTTGAAATTCTATAATTGTATAAAAAATACACGTTGTTCATAAGTTAAAATAAAATTGAAAAAAAAACTTTATTATTATTCATAGATTACTAAAAATTTAATATTAGAAATTATTAATAATCTTTTTTTGTTGTTTTTAGATTCACAATTAGATGTCGATATTTACAGCAAAAGTATATATGATAGACTTTTATTTAGGCGCGTACTTTCTTGAAAAAGCCTAAATATTTTATCGTTCAAAAATAAATATGGCAGCCGTACAAGTATGAATCATACGCTAAATGTTTCAGATTTTCATTAGCGACATACAAATTATCGTTCTTGGTATTTTTAAAATTACATTAATAATATTTTAGAATAAAAAAGACGTTGTAAGTCATTAACATAAAGGTAGATGATTGAGTCATTGAACTATATCGTTGTTTTTACATTCTACTACATTAGATTGCAACAGTGTGGTGCAATTTTTTCTTATGTATAAACATAAATGTAGTAAGTAAGAATTTTATTCCATAAAATATTTCCTGTAATGTCAACTCAATTTGAAACTTTTGAATATCTCGATGGATATTCACTTTGTTCAATTTTTTATGGAATGAATCAACGTTTGAATGATCTTCTTCGACTATGTAAATTACATATCGAGTTTAATAAACATAAACGAGATAAAAAGATTTGGCATACACTTGCAACGGTTATAAATCCTGAACAAAGTCATATATTATCAATCGATAATGTTATTATTCCTGACCGATGTTTACCTTTTATTGGAAGAAATCTTGTTTCATTGTATATTTATCAAATGAATGAAACTACAACTGATACAATACTTAAACATCTACCACTTGACAATCAACTTAAAACATTATATATCGAGAAAAAAGAAGATTGCTATATCTCTCGCAGAAATTCCTATACGGGTTGTGTATTCTTTAATCATGGACATAAATTTATTTCGCTCGTGAATTTATCTTTGGCAAATTACCGTACTCATAACGTTCCAATAACTACAAATATTTTCTTAAAACTTCGTCGACTTTCATTAACAAAATACATTTGGGGACCAAATTTTGTTCAATTCCTTCAAAAAAATGTGCCGAATCTTCAATCATTATATTTCTATCCAATACACATATCTCCTAATGAGTTAAAACCGTGTATTATCAAAAATATTCAAGAACTCGATATAAATGCTAGATATAACTTCAAATATTTGCAAAATATTTTATCTATACTACCTAACTTGAAACGTCTTCGAATTTGTTGGAAAGATACTTCATCGATAAATTCTATCAACAGTACTCAATGGAAAGAACTCATCGGAAAATATTTTCCTCGCTTGAAACATTTAACTTTAGAATTTCCTGATGGAATCGATGAAGATCTGGCTGAAACGTTTTATACAAGAGAATTGTGGCCAACAAAAAATGTTGTAATGAAAATGATGGTGAATAAAGCTGAAACTCGATATCGACAAGTGAAAACAATCTATTTCAATCATCAATGGCATTTTAAATATTTTGATTATTGTAAAAACAAAAATCAGAATGATAATTACACATTACAATCACGATCACCATCAACTTCATCATCAGACTCGAATACTTCATCGGAGTCAGTAGCACAAAGACGGAAACGATCGTCTTCGTCATCACGAACACCACCTCGATCAACATCAAAACATCAATTACAACTCCAAAAAAAATGCGATCACGATCACGTTCATGACGATTACAATTGTCACTTTCTTTTTGTGCAAGTTTTTATTCACTTATGTTTTCCTAATTTAACTAAGATTCATTACATATTTTTTTTCTTAGAATTCAAGTTTCACTTCTGAGAAATTTGTAATGGTAATAATTTAATATAACATTATATTATTATTGAAATTGAAAATATAAAGAAGATAAAAGATATTATTTTAAACCACCGATTTTATTCAATTGTAATTCAAGTTCAGCTTTTTTTTCATAACTAACATACAATTGAAAATGCTTTTTTAATTGTTCGGATAATCGTTTTAAATCGAAATGTACTCCATGACGAAAAAAAGGAAATTCTGGTAATTGTTGAAAGACTATTGCAGCAAGAGTAATTAATTCATAAGCTGTTATACCCCATATATGATATTTATCAATATAAAAATGATGTGTTACAAAATGATCACCAACATCTAATATTTTATGATTATTTTTCTTATATAAAAATTGTTCAAGATCTACATAGAATGCATTAATTATTTCATCAACTGCTAAACAATAATCCGTAAATTTTGGTGAATGAAGTAATGCAATAACAGGTGTGACAATGACTGCTCGAGAATCAATTGTTGGTGGTAAACAACCAAGTATTGAATAATGTTCTGATTTTAAACCTATTTCTTCTTCTGCTTCACGTTGAGCTGTATGAATTACATCTCGATCAGTTAAATCACATATTCCACCGGGAAATACTGAAATATAAATTATTTTATTAAATTCCTTGTTTTCCCTTGCTTACCAATCATTCCTGTATGTGATCGAACTTTATTTGATCGTTGTAAAACTAAAATTTCTACTCGATTCGTTTTTTCATTATAATAAATAGGTAATAGTATTGCTGCTCTTCTATATGATTCTAATTTTGGTAGAGTTTGTGAAAGTTCATTAACATAATTTGTTTTATCAACATAAGGTATTATACGTTTTCGAATCAGATCATTTGATAATGAAGAAATCGAACAACGCGAAATAATTAAAATCGGTTTTTGTCTAAAAAATTGTTTCCACATTAATCTAGAAAATAATTCTTAGATCAAACCGGTTTTATTACCTCCTACTATCGACATTTATATTTATCCATCTGGAATAAAAATGGAGGGTGTTTTTTTGTTATTTCTTCATATCAGTCTATGTCAATATAACGATAATACTTTTTTAATTTTCATTAGAAAATTTTCATCCTATGACAGTTTTATTTTCCAAATTAACAGAACAACAACAACAACAAAAAAATATTGTTTTTTTTGTTTAATTAGTTTTCATCGATTTTTTCATGAGGTGGTCCACATGGTTGAACCATTTTTTTTAATAATTGAAATTTAACACGAGCTTTACTTTCATTTTCACATAAAGCTATATGATTAAGCATATCAAAATGACCTAAATATGATGCACATGTATCACGATGAATATTTGTTGCCCATTCCCATTTTGTTGTATCTGCATGTCCCGTACCTTAAAAATAGAGAGAAGAAAAACAAAAACAATTATTTTTAATGTAAAAAAAAATCAAAACTTACCAACATATTTTGATTGTAAATGTTCAAGTTGACTATGAATATTATATCGATCACCCATTGTCTTTTTTTCTTGCTCAATGAATGAATACTTTATTATAACTTGTCATCCATTGGCTCATTTATTTAACAAATCAAAATTATACATATCAAACCTCAATTGTTTTTTCTGATTAAATAAAATTCTTTTCTTCTTCTTCTTCTTCCTTAAATGATTCACTAAGATGGATAAAATCGAAATTATTCATACTTATAAACATCTGTCAAAATTTCGCAATAAGGAAATCTATTTTTTCCCAACGAGCATAACTAATAGACATATAATTAATTTTATTTATTTGTTTTTCACAATAAATATTTTTTTATTTATTATTGCAGATGATTTCCTGTACAAATTGTGAAACAATCAATGATGAGAATAATAATAATTTTTCAAAATGTGAACATGTAAATCAAGAAATGATAATTGTACCAGATATAAGTTCAGATGATGATGATGATGAATATTCGTGTTCAACATGTTCTTCAGTTAATGATTCCGAATTAATATCATTAGATACGAAAAAATTATGGCATGATATTGCTCATCTTATTAAATGTATTTATCGTGAAACACATAGAGAATTTACAGGTTAGTTATAGAATTTAATTTTTTTGTTATTCAATATTTTTTTTGTATTTAGAAAATCATTCCGAAGATGAAATATGTAAAGCAAAAGAATACGTTCAGATGTAAATTAATTGATTTAAAAGGAACTGGTCCCTCGCTAGATTTTTTTTCTTTTAATTACTTTTTTGTAGTGAGTAATGTGTGGATACGGGACAAATTTTATATAATAAAAGGCTGAAGGGGAGTAGGGGTTAATTTTTCATGAGATACATTTTATAAGCGAAGACTAAAAAAGTCTATGGTCTGGTTCGGTGATCTAGTATCCACACATCACTCACTACAAAAAAAATCTAGCGGGGGGTATAACCCATGGAAAACTGACCACTTCCTTTATTTTTATCTCTCTTTTTGTTTTCGTAGATTAACACAAATTAATTCGGAATCCTTATTCAATAAAATTGAATCAATTGTATTAGAATATGTTGATGAAATACGTAATCAAGTTTTGAAACGTTTTCAAACATCTTTAAAAACTTCAAATGATGTGCAATTATTTATTTCATATCTTTTGGATGAATATAATACATTTATTCAAGCATCGAAAAATATCTCAACCATTCTATTTTATTTGGTTTGTATTTCAAAAGAAAATTTTAATTAAAAAATCTATTCTTTTTTTTTTTGTAGGAAGAAAATTATATGAAATCATTTCATTTAACTTGGTTATTATATAATAAACATTTATATGAAAAATTAATTTATATGGATAAAAAAATTCAACATTCAATGTCAACAATGATTGATTTACTTCAACCAACAAATGATGATACAAATAATTATTCACCAGCGGAAGATACACATTTATTAAATCGATTTTTAGAATTCGATGAAGAAATGTCGGAAATAGCTTGTGTATATAAAGATTGTCAAACAAAAATGAATTCGATATCAAAAAATATTTTTATTCAAAATGGGATTGTTGTTGCGACAAAGAAGAAGAAGAAAATTTGTAAAAAATTAGTTGAAGATAATAGTAATAGTACGACAACAAATGCTGTGAATATTCCATCTGTATCATCTCAACAAGGTTCAAATGGTTCATCAATAGGTTCCGGTATTGGTGGTAAAGAATCTTCATCGATTTCATCATTTGATGAATATCTTAATAATACATCATCATCAAGTTATACAAAAGAAGAATCTGATCATAATACTGATGAATTATTTCATGATATATTAAATAATATTTCAATTAAACCACAAATTCAACAGGAAATGAATGATAAAAAATCGAAATCTTCAACAAATCGTCGAAAAGAAACTTCTCTTACACCTGATTTAATTTTCCCACCTAAACCTCCATCATCAATATCATCAAAACTTCAAGCTGATCTTCGTTCATTAACAATACCTTCATTAACTAAAATTCAATCAGTTTCATTTACAGCTGGAACATTTGCTTCAATAACAACGGATGAATCATCTCGTTTAGCAGCAATAAATCAAGGGCGTTTAAATATAAATCTATCACGAAAATTAGGTTAATTATCAATTGAATCTTTTCTTTCTATCTATCTATTTTTTCTTTTTTTAGCATCAACAATTAAAACTGATTCAACTTTTACATGTACAAATTTCGATCAATTTCTTCATCAAATTCCAACATCATTAAATACTAAAAATTGTGATTTTTGTTCTTGTGAATGTTGTCCTGATTCGTCAAATACAAATGATTGTATTACATGTATGTCGATATCAAATAGTACGATGATAAATTGTGCATTTAATCTACGTGATGCTGAAGCAAAACAACGATTAAAACTTAAAATAAATAAACGTACAATACAAAATATATCGGATCAATCAAATTCTTCAATTGAAAATAAAACAAAAATAAAACCATATGGTGGTGGTGATAATAATATTGATGATTTAGTTCGATTTATTGATGGAAATGAAACAACTTCAGATAATAAATCAACATCAAAAAAGAATAAGAAGAAAAAAACGAAACAAATTCAACAGAAAAAATCTGATACATCTATAGAAAATGTTGTTGATAACAATTCACAACCTTTATCAAAACGAAAACAAAAAGCAAAATTAAAACTTGAACAACAAGAGAAATTAATTGAAGAAATTCCTGCAATTCAACCTGTTATAACACCTCAACTAACACCTTCTCTTCCGGAAAAAATTGATTCTATTCAAACAAATATTGAACCTTCGTGTGAAAATTCTCCTTGTTTAGAAGAAGAAATTAATTGGATAACAATTTCTCGTAAACAAAGTAAACATAAATCAACACCTATTTCATCTGCACCTGTTAATACCAAACAAAAACGACAACAAACAAATATTAAAGTTAAAACACCAATTCCTGCTCAACAAAAAGTCACATCAGAAGTAATATCAAATAGTAATAAACAACATAATACAAACATTCCTGCAATACATGTCCAAAATCCAGTGAATAATCAACCAAAACAAAAGACTGAATCATCATCAGCTTGGTCAAAACATGAAGAAACACAAGGTATAGATTGTTCAGTTAAACCATCATCGACTCTTCTTGCAACAGCACCAGTTTTTATTCCATCTTCTTCTCTTGTTCAACCAAATAAAACCAATGATATTCTTCCAATTGAAGATACAATTCCTTCTTCTTCCTGTTGGAATTCAAATGATTATCGTTCATCTAATCCTGTTCAACGACCAATTTCATCATTTCTACCAGCACCTGGACCCCCTAATACAACAATATCTCGTTGTATTCGACGACCTTCAACTGAATTACGTACTACTACTTTTCCAACTTATTCACCAATGAATTATGCTAGGGATAATTCAAGTTCAACATGGAATGATATACCTGTGACAAATTCAAATCAATTCCAATGGGAATATTCACATGATGAACAACAACCTCAAACACCAACTATTCCAAATGATTTTCCACTTTATGATCCATTTAATAGTAATACGGGTTTAAATATTCCATCATCAACTTTACTTACTCATATACAAATTCCACAAGTGAATGATGTCGATGAAATGGATGCACTTGATAAAGAAATTGAAGATTTTAAGAAGTAAGTTATTTCTATTTGATTTTGTTCCACTTAAATATCTATTCTTTATTTTAGATGTTATATTGATCCTTGTTTTATTCGTCAATCTTGAAAAAATAATAAATATGTTTTTATTTTCTCTTAATCATATCATTTATTTCATGTTTATTGTACAAATCTATCATAGATTCTGAGAGATAAAAGGGCAAGAAAATTGAGACAATAAAGTACATATATATATATATGTAATTATTTCTTTCATTTTATTTTGTGTTTACTATTATATTTAAAATTTAATTATAAATAAAACATTGTGAAGAATATTAATTGTCTTATATACACATGCCAAGACATGAAATAGAGTGTGGGTACGCAGTGTTATAATAGCTGATGCCTACACCCTATTCATATACTAATCAATATGTATAAATTAATATAATATAGTATAAATTAAGTATAATATAAACTGAAGTAATTTGCTGCTGTAGTTCGAAATTTGTCGAGATTGTTTTCATATGTATGACATTGAAATTAGTTGGAAGTAACCAAAACTAGATGTTAGCATAATACGAATTATATTAATGAATGAATACATCAATACGAAGAGTACTGGTAACTATATTTCTCTAGTTTTTTTATTATTTTCCGGTACATAGTACAATTAGAATATGTTGGAATCGACAATGCATCATGTAAAAAGTGTTATATGTATGTTTAATTTATTTTGAACAACGATAGATTTCGATAAATTCTTGTTGAGTTTTTATAATTTTCAAATGTATATTGTGTTTTGTTTTTTTCTCATTTCATGCTCAGTCTCGCATTATATATTGAAAGATAAATTTTTAAATTGCGTTTTTATAATTCATCCTAGCTATTATTAAAAGGTCTTCTTCTTTTTTGTCATAGATGGAATGTAATAGATACATATTAGAACGTCGAGAAAAAACCAAGAGATAATAATTTCGAAAGTAGATAAAGAGATAAAGAAGGACTGCAACACGTACATATTAGAACGTCGGGAAAAAACCCAGAGACACCAATACCGAAAGTAAAAAAATATTAATGGAATGTAATACATACATATTAGAACGTCGGGAAAAAACCCAGAGACACAAATATTGAAAGGAAAGAAAGAGATAAAGAAGAACTGTATATAAGAAGACGCTTACCATTTAGTCTTTCATGTTTTTTCAAAACAAAGACAACATACTAATACACAATCAAAGGTATGGAAATTATTTCACAAGAGCCAGAGGAGAAGTTTTAAAATATTGTAGATCTGTAATAAAGAAGAAGATCTGAACCATGTTTGAGAGGATCATATAAAATTTTGTTACTCGATGTTATTTGGATTATGTTTGTCAATTATCCTATAAAGAAGTTGTTGATAGAATATTCTATAGACTTTGAGCTCTTTGCTAAATCAAGATTCCATTCATAGCTAGATAAACCAGTCAAAAGGCAATCCAGTATTTTACTATTTCACTAGAGGTCCGCCAATTGAGATAATACGTGTTTGTATTTAAAAGAAATGTAACTAAGAGATGATTTATGTAGCCGTTGAGTAAACAAATTTCTGCGATAAATTAGAAGGTTATTTGAGTAGCTCTGTCAGTGTACTATACTGTGATATTACATCTTGAGAGCGAGTGTGGATGGATGCGATTACGCGTATTTGAGAACAGCTACGCCCACTCACTCTTCACCAAATTTGTAGATTAGCTCAGGTATCTACGAATGAAAAAAATAATGTTAACATCCTTGAATAGGATTAAGTAACTCAAAAATCACGAAATCATCTGTTCATTCTCACGCAGATTTGATGAAACGTATCTCTTATTTTCTATAAGATGAGCGATCATCCAATCACCATAGTCTTATCAAGGAACAACACTTGAAATTCTCTGTCACCTCTGACTATGAACCAATGTAGTGTCATATATTGTATATTTGAAATATTTTTGTTTTTATTTTAGTTGCTTAAAGAAGAGATACGCTGAAATTCAATGCTTATTTTACATCTGATATGTTTAATTATTTCTTATCAGTCATTGAAAATAATGGCGAAACAACAAGCAATTACAATGGTTGCATTGGGACGGCCATTTCGTTTGGGTATGCTCTATGATGCTCGTAATGATGAGTTAATCAGTGGCATAACTCTATGGGATCCACAGACCTTGGCGAACCATACAATTACACGTAATCAACCGTATACTGGCTATGAAATACTTACTAAAGATTCATTACAACATAAAGCACATGCTTTAGGAGTTGACGCTAGTTTAAAATTAAGTCTGCTTGGCGGTCTAATGAATATTTCAGGCTCTGCAAAATATGCTGAGGATTATCAAAGGACAAACCATGAAACCCGTCTGACACTAAAATATTCAACTACAACGCATTTTCAACAGTTAACAATGAAACATCTTGGTAAAAGTAATCCAGATCATCCGGATTTACACGATAAAAACCTTGCTACACATGTTGTTACTGGTGTCGTTTATGGTGCTGAAGCATTTTTTATATTTGATCGTACAATATCGAATAGTGAATCTAAAGCAGAAGTTAGCGGTTCATTAAAGGCGTTATTTGAAAAACCAACGTTTAAAATTGAAGGGGAAGCTAAATTAAATTTCACCGATCAAGAAAAGAATTTCGTTGATAAGTTACACTGTAAATTTTATGGTGATTTTCGTCTCAACAAAAATCCAAATAACTTTGATGAAGCTGTTACAATTTATCGCCAATTACCGTCATTGTTGGGTGTAAATAATGAAAACGCCATACCAAAAAAGGTCTGGTTATATCCATTACATCTTTTGGATAAGAAAGCGATGAGAATTATTCGAGAAATCTCATCTAATTTAGTTGATTACTCAATATCGACAATTGAAAATTTGCATTCTTTGGAAGTGAGAGCGTTAGATTTATCAGAGACTAAAATATTTACACATTTTAGTTTTATGAAAATATACTTATCGGATTTTGCCGCGCGACTATCGGAATTTCAACGAGATTTGAAAGAAAAGCTTGCATTATATCTACCAAAACTACGCGGGGACACTGGAGTTCAAGAATCTGTTTTATTTCAATTGTTTCGACAAGTTGATTCATCGCCATTCTATAAGCAAACATTAGAATCATGGCTCGAAGAAAAAGAAAAAGAAATCGCATTGATGACAACATGGATCGAAAATCTTGCCAAAGATATTCTAATCAAATCATCGTCATTAGATGAAGTCATTGATGATATTAGATATGATTATATTTTCTGTCTTTCTTTACGTCTCGTTGAAGAAAATGATCCGCAACTTACTGATATGCAGAATTATTTACATAATAAGAACACTTTTAACTCATCGACTACTCGTAAAAAACACACCCCATGGTTTGCAGACCGTCGTAGTATGGCAACAATTCGCAAAAATTTACGACAATTTAAAGAATTTGCTGAAGCAAACAATGTTGAAAATGCAAAAATAAAATTTATCGTCAATGAAGAATATTCGGTTAATGATACTAAAACTATTAAGCTTGTTCTTTACGATGATGGATTAGAAAAAAGTGGCTTTATTATACCAAGTAAACCAGGCGCACCATATGCAGTATCTGTTACAGACAATAATGTAACATTAGCATGGGCAGATGCAACTAGTGGAACCGAAGAAGTACAAAATTACAAAGTTATGTATCAGAAATATCGTGGAGAACCATTTATCGGTGAAAATGTAACTGAAAAAGAAGAAAGATGGACTGAAGTTCACACAAATGCTAATCACAAGAAGATAATCATTTCGAATCTGCCATCAAGCACGAGATTTGTATTCAAAGTGCAATCTGTAACTGCAATTGGACTTAGTGCAATCAGTACATGTAGCGAAATCATAGAAACACTAGCAAAAAAAGTTGGTAAGTTGACGTGTTTTTATTTCTCTGTTATAGAGCTTTGTTACTTTTCTCCTTGAAGCCGTTAAGTTATTACTCTATTTTATCTAGCAATTATTATTGCGATCTTACTCCTGCTAAAGGAATCATCAGATAGTTTAGAGCTATACAGATCTGCTTGTAATGATTAAATAAATCGAATCGAAACAAAACATGCACTTCGTTACATTGCATCTCGATAGAGACAGTTTAATGATGGCTGATATTGTATGAAATGATGTGACATCGAGTATTCTATTATCGCAATTTACATGTAAAAAAGAAAGTACAACTTATTATACAAATGAGAAGCATAAAAGGAATGAACGTTAAAATATCAGAATATTTACCTTGAAGATAAGAGTGTGAGGGAGGGTATAGATGGTATAAAATCTCCACATCACTAACCATTCGTTCAGAATCGGCGTAATCAAAAATCCAACCTGAAATTATTTAGCTTGCATTTTTTATCGTAATCCAAACAATCTCACTATCACTATTGTATCTCGTAGAAATCCTAGATGATGCCACGCCAATTAACCTTCATTGAAACTTTAAACGTTTCCACATGGTTAATTCTGCCTGACTAATAAATTAGAACTCATAAATAAAGTATGTAAATCTATACAAAATATGAAAAAGATTCAAAACGCACCAAGTTCGTCAGATTACGTATGAAGTATGTGAATATAAGTGCTGTTTTAGTTTAGGTGATGTGTGGTTGTAGATATTCATTTATTTCTATCCAAATTCAGCAATTCACCTAGGACATATATCTCGTATGTATTTCGAAATAGTTTATCACATATATAACTAATGATAGTAAACGACTAGGGTCAGCAGCGTATTCTACTACTCGTTAATAAAGCATACCTAAAAAGGTGTGATTTGATTCTGGCTTTAGTACGTATAACAGTAAAACGAAACCTGTTTAAGTCTACCTGAATCTTAGGTGGATGAATCAGGAATTATCGAAAGAATCGAAATGAAGAAAAATCGATCCGTTTTAAAAGAAAAGAAAGAAAATTAAATATGTTCAATTACTTTTCTTGTTGAAATAATAAAAAAGATTTTCATTATTATTTTATTTCATAAATCATTTCGTTTTACTTCTCGTTTTTATTATATTAATGTTGATTTGATAAACAGAGAAAGTAAAAAATAAAATATATTGCTGATTGAAATGGGGTTTTTCTTCAAATTTTTATTTAACAGAAAATAAATCAACAAAATCATTTTATCATTTTTATTTTTCTTCCTTTTCTTTTCTTTTCTAATTAGATATTTCTCAATTAGTTTCGAAAATAAATTATCTTTCAATAAAACTTATTTCTCTTCTAAATACCGATTCGAAAAAAAATAAATTTCGAATTCTTTTTCCTTTTCAAAACAAAATACTTCTTCATTTCATTTTACCAGATTTCATTAAAAAAAAACAACAAAAGACTTTTGTGTCAAAACTCTTTTGAAAAGAATTTATTTTTATTTCCCAAATATAAAATTTCAGATGATTTGTTGTTTTTGTCAGCAAATTCTTTTCAAAATTGAACAAAAAAAATCAAATCAAATTTGATTAATCATTAAACATGTGTATGAACATTTCATTCAAAATTCAACTTTGACAAAATCAAAATTTCATTCGAAACTAATCTTTTCTTTTTCTCCGATTAAAAACAACTTTCTTCTTTTTACTAAAATGTTTTGTTTTCATCATTTTCTAGAACCAAAATTCAACAAATGGCAACAAAATGCCATTACTGTAGCTGGTGGAAATGGAGAAGGACAACAATTAAATCAACTCAGTCGCCCTGAAGGAATCTTTATTGATAAAAACAAAACTATTTTCATCGCTGATTTTTTCAACCATCGTATTGTTGCATGGAAATATAATGCAAAACAAGGACAAATCGTTGCAGGCGGAAATGGGCCAGGAAATCGAAGGAATCAATTGAATATGCCAAGAGATGTGATTGTTGATCAACTAAGTCATTCCATCATCATTGCTGTATGGGGAAACAGACGAGTAATTCAATGGGTGAATCAAGAGCAACAACTTCTCATAGAAAATATTGACTGTCATGGCTTGGCAATGGATAAACATGGATTTCTTTATGTTTCTGATTATAAAAAGAATGAAGTGAGACGATGGAAAATGGGTGACTACGACAACGAAGGAATTATAGTGGCAGGTGGAGATGGACAAGGAAACCAACTTAATCAACTCTATCGTCCTGTTTATATCTTTGTTGATGAAGAACAATCTGTTTATGTATCAGATTCTCACAATAATCGTGTAATGAAATGGAGAAAAGATGCAAAAGAAGGAATAGTTGTGGCTGGAGGAAATGGTAAAGGAGGAAATCTCAATCAATTGTCTCAACCTACACGAGTAATTGTTGATTATTTGGGTCAAATCTATGTGGCAGATAGTGGTAACCATCGAATAATGCGTTGGTGTGAAGGAAAAAAAGAAGGTGAAATTGTTGTTGGTGGAAATGGTGAAGGAAATCAATCAAACCAATTGAGTACTCCCATGGGTTTATCTTTTGATGATGAAGAAAATCTTTATGTTGCTGATTATATGAATCATCGAATTCAAAAATTTGAAGTAATTTCGTGAATGAAATCTTGATTTTTCATAAAATTAAATTTTATTTGATAATTTTAATAAAGAAAGTCGAATAAATAAATGTTAAATTCTTCGTCGTTTGTTAGTTTTTGTTGAATTTCGTAAGAGAAAAGAAAAGAAAATATTTTGTAGTTTGAATTGAAATGAAATATGAACTCTTTGATAAGAAGATTTTATGTTGGATAAAATCCCATTTTAGTATTTTTATCTGATGAAAGTAATCAAGTGTTTTTTGTTTTTGGATTTCATAAAATTTGAGAATTGTTCAGAATTGAAGAAAAAGGATTGTTTTATAAAAAATGACAAGAAAATTCGAATTCAAACGAATTTTGTTGAACAAAAGAAATGTTGAAAAGATTTTTCTTTAATAAATTAATAAAAATTAAATTGAAAAATGATTTGTCAAAATGAAATCAATCAAAAAGTGATTTTATTTGGAAGGTCAAAATAAATCAGTGAATATTTTTATTTAGATAAAAGCAAAAATGACGGAAGAAAAATGAACAAAAAAATTCAAAGAAAATAAAAAGCAATGAAAGTTCTGAAATAATACAAAATTCAAATTTGATTGTTGATTTCAAAGATTTTTGATGAAATGGAAATTTTTTAATCTGACTTCTTTTGATAAAAGTCACAAGGTGATTTGTTTTGTGTTTGAAAGAAATTAAAATGAATATTTAATAATTCCTTCTTTAATTTCTTTATCATGTTTAATTGAATAAATAATTTTAAATATTTTTATGAATAATAAAAAAATATTCCTTATGAAATTAAAATTAGTTGAAGTTGATAAAAATGATGAAGTTTCGTGATGAAATTAATTCTAAAATCTATTTTTTGCATATTTTTACATTAGTTTGTCAAGAATACGTTCAACTCTTGACAAAGGTCTTTTTTTTTGAAAATATGAAAATATTTCTTACGGTTAGATGGAGTATTTCTATGAAAAAATTAAAATAGTATTATTCTCAATAGTTATTGATTAATATAAATTTATATGAAAATAATTTATTTTTTATTTTTATTAATAAATCATATATTGATATGTAAATTTCATAAGAAGAAGAATTCATGAATAAATAAATATTAGTTATTATTTTGTAGAAGTGTAAGCATTGGTAATAACTAGAATAAAAGAAAATATCCAAATATCTAAAACATGAGTTTATATCAATGAAGGATTTAACGTTATTGTTGAATTAGAGAATTTTTATGCGATAGCAAAGACAATTTGAAAAATATAAACGAAACGAAAATTTAAAAATTGTTTTTAATAAATATTATTAATATTTTATTCAACAATATCGATAATTATTCAAGATTTAATCAATTATATTCAATTTTATCGAATTATTTAAAATTTTATTAGATGAAAATGATTTCATATGA